CATTTCCCCATATTTAGGCATATCATATTCAAAACAACACAACTATTCTATATTTTTGTTAGACCTGTATTTACCACTGTCAGTTTCTTTCTTTGCAATGAAACAGTTGAGAAGAATATAATGGGTTTTCCTACATAATTCTGTAAAATAAAAATTGCTCTTATAAAGCTTTGGTGGGTTTATTGAAATTCAATTAGTTCTTGAAGTCTGGTGCTGAATGCTGTCCTGTGTTAGTCCGCCTGCATGTTTCAGTTATCTGGGTCATTTTCTGTGAAATGACTAATATCTCCAGATAGTGAGTTAGTCCTTACATTAGGATGTGAGAAGAGAAGAAGAGATAGGAGCAGGTATCTAACTAACTCTCAGCCCAGCTCTCTGTCCCTCCTGACACCAGAGAATATGCTGCTATGCACAGGATAAAATAATGTATGACATATCAGTGCAGCTTGTGTGTACAGTGCTGAGAATAGCAAGAAAAGCTGATGGCACTGAGTGACCTAGTCATGACTAAGACCTCTAAGAGATTCCAAAAGAGAACAAAACATGCTCAATTTTTAATCCCTCCAAGTAGGAGAGAGGAGAGAGGGAGAGAGGGCTAGTGTTAAATCTCCCTCTCACACACACACGCACACACACTCGCCTGCTTTCCTTGACTTGTTCCTGAGTGTGCCCTCATCTCTCAGGGTGTTTATGTTTCAATCAAAAGAGCCAGAGCAGTGTGACCACAGCTTTCTGCGTGACCAGCAGAGCTCCACCCTTCACCGCGTTAGGAATGAGCCTTAAAGATAGCTCCCACCCCCACCACCTCCTCCTTCATGTTTTTTCTGAAAAGCCTGCTATCGGCCTCGTGTCCTGCTTTCTGAGAGGAACTTCAGGATAAATCCATCACCGTCTTCCATGTCAGAATTTAAAGAAGGGCGAGCATCCACCTCAGTCTGTCTGTTCCATATGTTGGAACATCTATTACCTGCAACATCACTGACACAATTCTGACAAAAACATGTACAGCAATACGTTTTCATCATTATTAATCAAGTGTTAATCTAGAAGATATAGTTATACACAGGATCAAATAAAGGGTTTTCCAGTTTTATACTTTCTGCATATATATTTATGCAACAATATCTGAATAATAATAAAAAACGATTCATTTAAAGTGTGCAAATAGGAATAGAGTGAAGGATGTACCTTTTTGTCTTGGTGAGTTATTAACTTTTTCATACACGCCTATTGATGTAGACAAACCTGTCACGACAACAGAGAACAGTGACGTATTGAAAGGTTATGTTCATTTTCAGTTCTCAGAGGACGTGGCAGGCAGACGAGAGACTGCTGGCATCATTCAAATTGTTTGGCTTGGAAACCTATCATGGTTAATGAAAAGGTGGCAGTAAGAGAATGTTTGTGCAAAAAAAAACTGACAGTGCATTGTCAAAATTCACAGTGCTGGTGTTTCATCGGTCTTCAGAACCTTAATCCTCACGTCAGTTCAAAGTTACAGTTTACAAAGGCCATGGTGCATATCAGCATCAGTAAATAACCCCTGCCCCAGTCTGGGTGAATGCTATTTCTTACCACTTTGTTTCCAGGGCAGAGTTGATTAGCTGGTTAGAGTGTAGTTTATGTGTGTGTGTGCGTGTGACTGCGAGCGCGCGCGTGTGAGAGGTAGAGAGAGAGAGGCGGCAACAATAAGCTGGAGAAATAGACAGCGTCAGGGGTAATGTTCGTATTGGCTGACACAAGGGAAAAGCAGCTTTTAAAGCGTTTAGCTTTAATTTCATTCAGGAGTGACATAATTGATTTTAATGAGATGTTTATAGAGTGAAGTGTCGGTGTTGCTAAATCATTTGCGAGTCTGCCTGACGGGTACTTGTGAGGCTTGCACCGGGGAGAAGGAGAAAGGCACACAAATCTCTGCTGCCAGAACTCCTCCAGCAAGCCTCGCGCTCATCTCCATTCACTCCCGCACGCCACCCAACACATTTGGATGCTCATTTTAATTAAGAGCGTGTTTAATTCGTGAAATACTTCTTTAACTTTGACACTGTATCGACTGAAATGCTTCGGCTGGAATATCTTTTTGTCGGCTTAGGCTTTTGTTAAACCCCAAAAATACACATCATCATCATCGTGAAGTGAAGCCAGCCAAGTCCCAGCTGTGTGGGTGAGAATATAGTTCACTTCCAGTGCCCAGCTAATCCTGCTGGCTTCCCCCTGCTCGCAGTATCAGTGCTGTGATTGACTGACAGGGTGTCACATTGCTATTATGAGGTCCCTGCGGGCCTGTGCAGTTTAAAATGGAGAGAATGGATGGCAGTGTGAACATCACAGAGCGACAGCGCCTGCTCGCACCACTGAGGGAAGGACTGGCTGCAATGAAGCAGGCAGTCACCCTGAACTCCTTTTCAACCAAACACATAAATGAGTGTTGGACAAAAGTCAGTTTGTGAATGCTGGTATCAAAGACTGTAAGAAAAGCAGCAATTGGTCATGAAACTGAGCTTCCTTGAAAAGAACCTGGTGAACAATGTCAGCTCTCGGTTCTTCTCGGAAAGTAATAACTTTACAACCTTCAGGAGACATGATGTGGCAATTGATAGTTTTGATTGTGGCAACATGGATTCAAAGAAGAAACCTCAATGTTTTCTCATTTTTGGATCTATCTTCAATTTCTTCCAGTCCTCACTGTTGAAATGGTTCAGTTGATGGTAGCTTCAAATGTTTAAATCAAAAGTTCTATGAATTTCTACTTAAAGTAAAAAGCTTTTGTCTCTGTGAGTAAATACACAATTATTCCACTGAAGAGTCCCCACATCAACCAGGGAAATCACAGAGGATTGTTAATAAGTTTACATTTCTAGAAATGATCCTATACTCCCATCATAAGGCTGCAATTTCCCATTACAGCCACAATAAATATAACATCTGAATTAGCAGGTTTCCATGAAACAACCAAGCTCTTGCCCTCCAGGGGGGGTGTGAATACTTTCATTTGTTTTGCCATTTTGTTAGTCTTTAAGTAAAATCCAGTCCTGCATCCCAGAATATGAATCATTTTTGACATCAATCAGAAACTGATCTTAGTATTCCCAACACTCTCCACCTGCACACAAGATGCTCGACAGTTCAACATGCAGCATGAGTAGATCTGTAACCAGCATCGACTGCTCCTTTAATAACTCTGAAGTCAAAAAGGATCATGTCGGTCCTATCACTGCTTGACACCTGTTTCTGAAAAACGGAACCAGGTATTGGTTCTAACCACAAGCATGCACGCTTAACAACTTCGAGGTGACAGCCACTCTGCAACAATACTCAGTGCCTTTCCTTCAACAAGTGCTGATTATTAATATCTCACTCCTGCAGGCACACGCTGAAGCCAGTCTGAATTTCAAGAAGGCAAACTTATTGACTGTGATTGATTCTGAAACATCTCTGGACATCTCCCATGCATATAGATACAGCTACACACACACATGTAACACATATACACACACATGCATGTCAAATAGCCACTGAAGTGTTATTATAGCCAGAGAGCATCTTAAGCTGCGGTCTTATTCCAACGTTCAATCATGGCTCAGATAAGGAAAAAACAACGGGTAATAACAGGTTAAGGACAGAATCTTGCAGGACGAAGCTTTCCAAAGCACAAGACACCCTAGGACATGATTTCCATGCAACAACTGTGGAGAGCTGTTTTGATTGCTTTTCAATCAAGCGAGACAAACACTAATTTGATTTTTTTTTTCTTCTTCCTTTTTTTGATGAACTGCAGAACTATGGACTTCTCTCGTGAAGCGTGGATGACTGGCACTTCTAGTGTCAGTAACACTCCCCTTTGGACTGACTGGTGCTGTCAAGACTTTATTATATTAATATATGGAGACAGTAGATGCTTGTAGCACACAGTCAGTGTCTCAGAGACTTTTAGGGGTTTATTTCATTAGCTTAAACTTGTCTATTGTCAGTTTACTAAATACAAATATTATTGACCAATGATAGGAGTGTTTTCAGTGTATATGTTGTGCTTCCAGTAGTGCAGACATGGATTTCTTAAGCATCATGCTCCCACGTGTATTTCAAGTTACACACTTTACTGCGCTTTGTTCTGTAAATTAGAGCTGAGTATGTTCTAAAGTATTACATTACCGTTATATTAGCACAAGGAATTAACTCTGTATCATGAGCTGTTGATTTTCCGAAAATAAAGTCCTTGAAAGAATTGCTCCATTTAAACCCAAGTAAAGTAATTATCAACCATTCGTTTATTCCATGTATTTTGATTCAGTAGTGCAGTGCACGTTCTAAACCTGCCTGTTTGGAATGGACTGTTTTCTTGACCTGTGTCAATGCTCTGGAGCTCCTTCAGGATTATAAATTGTCATTAGTGAGGTCTCCTTGAACAGTTCTACAATGTACCATCACTTTTTATTGTTTGTGTGCTGGACGCAGTGTGCCGAGCTTTTTATAAACAGTCTATGGTGCAGAGTGAAGTTAGAAATGTTGTGTTCATCCTACCTGGTGGTATGTGTTCCACATACAGATGGACATATAGATATATAGTGTCTTTAAATCGGCTATTATCCTTTTTTAATATGGGTTGAAAATGTTAGTTGCATATATGTAAATCTGCAACTGTTTGGATATTGTAAAAAAAAATGTGTGTTGTTCGTTCTTATTTTTTCTCTTAGATGCGTTACATTATTTTATCCTGCATAATACAATCAGGATTCCTGCTATAAGCTTGGCAGTCTCCTTTCAGAGGGTAATATGTCAACAGTGAAATCATCAAATATTTATGGCCATTATGTCCACAACATGACAAGATGTAGATCCACACATATGTGTTTTGATATGAAGCGTTGAGTGAGACATCATGGTATTGATATGTCTCTGATTCTGGCCAGATTTCATCCTGCCAGGCCGCAGTGATTTGTCGTGTGCCGCATTCCATATTAATAACGCTCTGTTTCTACCCCCTCTGTCTTGGCTTGCAGACGGACGCCGCGCTGATGTACGATGCTGTACATGTGGTGGCCGTGGCTGTGCAGCAGTCTCAGCAGATCACCGTCAGCTCATTACAGTGCAACCGACACAAGCCTTGGCGCTTCGGGAACCGCTTCATGGCCCTCATCAAAGAGGTAGATGCTTCTTTACCTGCTCCCTACTCTGTCTTCCTCCTTAACATACACAGCACCTTCACACAGAAAACACATGCTCACAGGAAAGCGGACAGCTATGGAATATAAATAAGACTCAGGCAGTCAAGAAGAAGGGAGTTATGCATAAATTGAAATGATAGATCTGTGTATTTATTTACACGGAAGTCATTTTTTCCCCAGTTTATGTGCATACATACTCCCCTGTGGAATCATGTAGAGCCTACTCTCTGAATTTCCACATTAATCACCCGTGCAGAAACATAAACACATTATCTAAATTTCTTTGTAATTACTCCACAGTTCACTGCATTTGTGAAGCAGCGACTGATAATCCAGAGCCTTCTATCTGTGGAAACGCTCGATATTACGCAACCTATATTTAGGACTCTCTAAACTTCTTTTCCCCTTTAGTTTGCAGAGATCATGAAAAGGCAGCTAAGAATTAAACCGTATGGTTGGAGGATTGATAAGCTGAGAGCCCCCACACAGATTTGGATGTAACTATATTAAGCAGACAGTTTTTCACCATGCAAATCTCATCTTTTCTTCCCTGACCCTCCGCTCATTCCTCTCTCTCCATTCCATCTCTTCTCCATCTGCTGCTTTGAGGCTTTCTTTGTCCTCTGACTTGAGGATCTCTAAGCCTATACAGTCACACAGGAGGATTCCAGCATTTATGAAACAACACTGTTTAGCTCAGTGGCTACGTTGCAGAAAAGTCACTGGCAGCACTTGTGCTAATCCAGAATGATGAGTCTCTACACAGGCTTCTGTGACACTATCTCTGAAATTCTCTCCACCACAGGATCTTTACTGTACAGAGGAACTTATATGATAATGTCCCCAGACTGTGGTGAAAAATGGAATGTGAATACATTTCCTCTGATTGCGATTGCACTGCAGCTTCAGTGAGAATATCCATATGGCATGAAGAATGTATGCTCCGTAGACATCTTATTAGCTAAACCTAGCAACAACTAATGCAGCAGTCCCGCAATACATCCTCTCTACATGGCAGTTATAGTGCTCAGTTGCTTTTGAAACTGCTTTACAGAAGTTTTGATATAAATGTATAGTCACTGTGGATGGTGGTGTTTGTTCTTAACTGAACGTCATAACTTTCATAAAAGCAGTACAAAATCAATTTCCTGGTGAAAATGTTCAGCCGAATCAAGTCGACAATGTATGAGGTTGAAAAGTAGCGGTGCGACGATGTCACCAGGTCCTTAAAAAAGTACACATGCAGGAATGTCCTGATCAAACTGAACGTTTTGATGTTTGGGTGGATGAAATTGTTCGAAGTTTGTGGCAGTAGTTAGCGAAGGAAAAAGTCTGCGGAACAAGAAACATAATAAAGATTTAAAAAACAGAGAGCATGTGTCAGCATCCACACTAAAAAAAGAACAGATGGTTGTGAAAACGCCAGCAAAGGAAAAACCCAGTCAGCACACACACCATCAGTCAACACTTGGAAGACAATAAATCTCCAAGAACAGGATGAATCCTGCCTTAAGATGAATAACCCCACTTCTTTCCTGTGTAAGAGGGATCTTAGAAGTGGACACAAGTAATGGACAAAAGACTCATCAGAGGACACAGGCAGCTGTGCCTGTGCCAGTCTGTACTACCTCAACAAGAAGCAGAAACTGGCACAAGAAAATAATATTCTCCTCAGACAGGAGTATATGACATGGCAAATAACAGATGGGGGCTGCGGCGCTGAAGACTGACCTAAAGGTCAATGACCTAGATAGAGCTGACTATGCTGAAAGAGAGGAAGTAATGGAGGACATCCAAAATCACAACCGCACTGACCCAGGCCAAAGACAACATGGAAAAGTCAAGATGCCTCAAGGCAGTGCTGCTGCTGGCACAGGAAGAAGGAAGGAAGGGAAAACTCCAGTTGGATAGAGTAGAGTCTCTTCACACCACCAAGCATAGATAGACAGACAGATAAGACTTTATTTTCATTGTTACTGTAAAAGTTACAACGAAATTAAAAAGCATGCTCTGGAGGCCGTTGATATGAGGAAATACAGATGAACTGATGGGGAGAATAATGACCATTAACAAACAGGGTAAAAAAGTTGCAAAGCAAACCAAAGAAGTCTGTGTGGAACCCTGAACTCCTAACACTCCCATGTACTCTCTCCTGCTGCTCTGTCCTTCACCCCTTTTTTGCTCACTCTCCTTAACACCATTCCCTCAACTCACTTCCCACTTCCAGGGTGACCCTGATGAAGCCCACAGTCTCACAGAAAGAAGAAGCTCTTGTTTCAGAAGTTTATTCTCTGAGGTTGCATTTCTCGGGTTTCATGGGTTTACTCTGGGATGCTCCAGTTTCATTAGATTACCTTACATTTTTTGACACTGTATATTGCTGAATGTGTCTGTGATGGTTGAAAAAAAAGAATCCAATTGAAAAGCGAATTTCAATTTATGGAGTAACATTTAAGAAATAGTAAAATACAGTTATAAGATCTATCCAACTTGCCTTTACTGCTTAAAAAAATAGTTCAAGGAGAAAAATGCAAACAATGAACAACTTGAAAATGTGGATTGTTGAATAAAATTGGTTTAAGTATGCAGGAGGCTTATGTTCAAAGATTTAGATGGCAAGAAGGCAAAAAACAAAATCAACATCATAATGAAAATATGATGTGAATGCTGAGTTACCAAAATGCTAGATGTAGCACAAAAATAATAATCATAAAAAAAAATTCAGATGTACTTGGAATTCATTGTGCATGTTAATTGTTCATAGAACATGGATTCATACTTCCTAATGGCCTGATGACCAAATGGTATTTTCTCTGTCACCCTTTGCTGATGTGACGTTGATAGACCCCAGTTTTAGAATAACGTACTAAGGTGCAGTCCTTTGTATTCACTCTCACACTCAGTGCCTCTGATTTAAAATGCTTGGTTACACCAATACCTCCATCAAAGCCTCCGCCCCCCAGTTTTCAGCACTGGAACCAGAGGATCACTGGTGTGTGCAAAGAGTCAGCATAGATAATTAAACTGTGATTCTTTCAAGTCAGCTCGTATAAAGTCAAGGCCACATTGTGCCTGCTATAAAATTGTATTTTCATAAAATGTTGATTTCCACAAAGACAAAATATTTGAGTTATTTTGAGTACAAGACACCTTTCACTGCACAAAGTAACTCAGCCATTCATTAGATAAAAGCTTTCAAAGGTTTTGTAAAACTTCAATAAAAAAAGCCAGTCCTAACTCAAGCTTTGTGTTGTGCTTTATGAGTGCTTCCTGTTTCAAGTTTGGGGTTGAGTCAGCAAACAGCTTTACCCACAAATGTTGGACCAATAGCCGGCCATAGAACACATGGCAATCTTTTCGTTGCAATAACATGAGATCACCTGCTGTTTCATTGAGATTAGAAACTGAAGTGAGACAGGAGGCTCTGAGTGAAATGATACAATCATTCATTCATTTAATTTTTCACCAGATAGATGAAGTCCAGGACTGAATTGCTCCCTCCTCACAGGGAGTCGAGGAGCATCATTGAGTGTCATAAACAATTTTAAAATTTTTGGAGACATTTTGAGATATCTAGTAAAAGCTGTATTGGTCAGGTGATGGTGCTGAGAGTTATTCGATTCATCCACTGTGGACAATGATGACCAGAATAAATTCTGTCAGTGACTTGATGGTGGGATACTTAAATCGGCAGGAGACATGAGTATCCATATGCTACATTTCCAGTCGAAGTCCTTCTGACTTGGATTGACTGAATGACTGCACCATTTCACATAATGATAGGTCCCCTAAAACACTGAGCGATATACCCTGACACTCCATCCCAACCAACGCCCGGGGGTCCTTGGGAATATAACAGTCCATATTGGAGTCACATATCATTGTGTCTGTGAACTGCACTGGTATCAATAGAGAGATATTCCGACACTGAGTCAAAGTAGTATGACAAATACTTTCTAGCGCAGTCGACTGTTCTGAGTGAGTAACTTCCAGATCTGTGACTCCCACTCATCTTACTAAAGGCCCTGAAGTTCCCGGGATCTCGAGCCGCACTGTGATGATTTTCTGTGCCTGAGAAAAAGCCTCTCTAGCTCTGAGCCACTTTCATGCTACATTGTATCCTATCACACCCCTAAATATCTGTAAAGATCGGGTAATTGCCCTCCCACTGTTACACATGCAGCCCCAGTCACTGTAGGCACCTTGATGGCAGGGAAGACTGTACAAACAGAAACGGTGTGTGAAAGAGAGAAAAATGGAGTGTGCCATCAATCTTTGACTGCTTTGCCTCAAACAGTGTCACCGAATGCATATTTGAAAGTGGAGACGTTGATGCTGATGGTTTAATGTCTCATCTGATATCCTCTGTGTCTCTCTCTCTCTCTCTCTCTCTCTCTCTCTCTCTCTCTTGTCTCTAGGCTCACTGGGATGGCCTGACTGGGAGAATCAATTTCAACCGGACCAATGGCTTGAGGACAGACTTTGACCTTGATGTCATCAGTCTAAAGGAGGAGGGGCTTGAGAAGGTTGTGTCTTTAATGTTTATGTGTGTGTGTGTGTGTGTGTGTGTGTGTGTGTGTGTGTGTGTGTGTTTTGCACTTGGCTTGCCATGCCAATGTGATGATTTAATAAAACAGTCAAAAGCACACACACAAACAAATCGCTTGTTGCAGTTCATCACAGTTTGTTGTCTGGCAGCCATATTACAACTACATTAGCATTTTGTTACCAAATGATTACTTCCCCACTTACACATCACTATGACCCAGTGGCTAAGATTGATATCATCATATGTAGATTTTTGATGGTATTGACTTCTACCTAAAAGAAAATTTGGAGACTCACATGTTGTTATTTATTGAGAGTGGACTCTTCCGATTCTGGAATCTTTATATAACGGGGTTGGATGTCTCATGAAATGTGACTTGTTAGACATACATTATTTTGTTTCCGTAACTTGCTACCAAGTCTAGTTTCTTTATGAAAACGGCTTTGTGACTCTTCAGACCATCCGACGTTGGCCCCGAATCCCCAAACCAATGTGTCAAACCTTAGAGGAGCTCTCAGTTGGGTTTCAGACCATCAGAAGTGTGACAGAATTGATATAAATAAAGAGAGGTTAGAATGTCACAGTGCGCCATCCCATCTTTTTTTTTTCAAATGTTTGACTTGTTATGTATTTATTCATTGTTTGTGTACGGCCATTCCTTCAGACAACCACAGTATCTGAGATGCAACAATAAAGCGTCAATGAGAGTAATGCATTGCCATCAAAATAAATGTGCTCCATCCTTCCAAAGAGTACATGAGGATGAAACTGACATGATGCCAGAGTAGAATGCTGAGCTACAGGGTGAATTAACTTGGTGCATGTCATTTGACTTTACCTCAGAGGTACACACAGTAGTTGGAGTTGGACTAAATGTATATGTAAAAAAAATAAATGATTTGGATTTAAGAAAAGTCTAATTAAATCGGAATTTTGACAGAATTAGAAAAACATTTTCAGTATGCTCACAGAGGCCAATTAATGGGTGGTATATAGTAGTATTCATACAAATAAACTTGGCTTCATTGGGTCAAAACAAAGCATGGACATGGGACAAAATTCTGGCATATATTCGACAAAGTCTGCCTTAATACAGTACTTGCATGTCCTTGTGTAAATTGAAAGAGTTATAGATGACATTAATCTTTCCTCTCGTCCATACTTCCTTCAAAGACAGACTTTGCTAGAGCAACAGTCTTACAGAAAGCAGAGGAAGTCCACAGTAACACTGAATTCACATCATTGTTTTTCAATGTGACTTTTTGTAAATATAATCCATTTCATCACTAGGGCTGTAGTGGTGGACACCCCCGTTTGATAGTCCACATATGCTATTCATGAAGTGCTCTGACTTAATGCGAGGGGAAATTCTGCCTCCGATTGGTTTTTATGTGAATTTGACAGATGGAAGGGTACAGACGTTAGAGCCAGCTACTGTAGCAAACAGCACACACTCCAGCTCTGTATGTCTGTGTTACAAATCAGACTGATTTCAAAGCTTGCCAGGAACTCAAGCTGTTTTTCTTATTTTACTCTGAACTCTCTTTATTTCCTCCCTCTCGTCTCTGTGCGGAATAAGGGCAGACGTAGAGGATGGGTCTGTGATTTTCCAGGATAAAAGAAAGACGACAGTTATAGGGCATTTAGACTGAACACAACAGCTGTAGTGAAGGTCTGTGATTCAAAGAGGATAAATGATCGAGGAAGGTTATAAAGAATAATACATTTATGCATTTGAAGGCTGTTTGGAGGCAGAATCAAGCCAAAGTGAAGGTTGTGGGAATGTTGGGAAGTTATCACGGTGACACAGTGATCATTATGAAAAATGTAGAATAATGCTGCAAGTCACCTCCGAGGAATATGCTCAGACTGTATTTGATTGGACGGCTCAGTGCTTAGGGAGGTGATGGTGTTGTTTTGCACCCTAGTACCTGTGCTATATTTGCAGAAGCTCTGTGATGCTCTGAGCTTGTTTTATTGAGAAACAATGGCAGCCAAGCTTTGGAGCAGTGGTTGGCAATCTACTTGTTTTTTTGCCAGTTAGGCCAAGTCCCTGTCTGATTGGTCAGTGAGAGTCAAAAGCAGTGATTTCCTTTGGGACAGAGTTCCAGAGTCCTCAAACCCAGAGGTCAAATCACTTGTCCCAGTGCCTGTGGTTTTAATGTTCTGAAATACAGGAGCCAGGATTCTCACAACACTGTTAATGATTCCAGCTTGTAACCGTGTCCACCATAGTTTGGCCCCTACTCTCTCACCACAGGTTAATAGCTTTTCCTCCTCTTTAAAGACAAGGTGATCATCGGATGCACTTCTCTTGCTCAATCAGAGGGAGACATTGACCTCATCCAGTAGTGCACAGAATCGCACCATCCCTTTGTCTTTGCTTAAACAGTACACACCATTTTGTCACAGCAAGTCGTCGATGCTGGTTTCTGGACGTAACCCTGACAAAATCAATAACAAGCATTACTTCATCCATATTTCCCTTTAGCTCATCACTTAGCCTGGTGCAAAGGACACTCTGGAGGATGAGGCAATGCATTCCAGGCATTTGGGGGGGGCAAGCTTCTTCAATCTGTGCACCAGACCTCTGTGCTTTCCCATCATAGCAGGATTAGGTTAACCTTCTCAAATGACAATGAATGCAGCCTAAACAGCTCTTGCAGTTTCATAAATATAATGTCTCCAGTGGTGTGCCCTTATAATAAAATAAGAAACAGCAGCATTGCCCTAAATTAATTTCCATCTAAATATCGAACAAAGATGCACATCTGGGCAACATCTGTGCTGTCTGTGTTCTTGATGGCCTGGGAAAAGTCATTGGCTTGACTGAGACCTTTGATAAAAACTTCATATACAGCATCTGACAGCACTTCTATGCAGCGAGGAGCAGGTTTTTTTGTCTCTTCAGACATACTGATAAACACATTTTCTCTTGGCTTGCTAGCTTAACATTAGCATTTAACTTGCCTCAGTCTGCTCACAACATCTGAAAAAAGTTGCATTGTTTTGTGTAAGGATGGGTCACTAATGTCAAGGAATATGCTATGTCAAATAGTTATTAGAATAAATTGGGTTTATTAAAGCATATCAAAGAAGAGGTTAGTCATTCTTTAAATAAAAATACATACCTAAGATTTGATCTATACTTTTTGTTATTCAGTTATTCACTGCAGAGCACAACCTGCTGGTTACCTTCACATCTGCTTCTTAATGCTGCACAAAACCTAAACATTTGTACAAATCTAGTGCTCTTTTAGTTTCTGACTCCATGACTCAATTTGACGATAGTGGAACAAATCGCTAAGCATTCTTTGACTGTCTATAAAATTTAATCCAAATTCACTCCCAGGTCAAATGACTCTGCAGGAGATCCACAGATATTTATGTTGGCTCCAGCTCCAATCAGCAGTGATGTAAACAGGCTAATGTGTTCTTCTTTAATTTGGCAGCTGAGCATCAGCCTGCTGCACCTTTTCCTGTGTGACATTTTGACGCACGTAACATTCAGGATCGGGCAAATGCAACCTTGGTTTCTTGGTTTTTTGGTTTGCAATAGAGAGATTTTGTCTAAGATCAGTTCTGATGATTTAGTAGTTTTTTTGCTAGTCGCCCAAAGCTCCCAGAGTACAAACTCTGCATCAATTAGCATCTCAAAGAAAAAGAAAAAATCACACCTTACCTTTAATATCAGTCAGTATGCATCATGGCGTGTCATGGTATTTAGCTCAGCATGTGTCTGCATACTTATAGTCTATAGTTGCATCTATGGTTTCCTCAGAATAGCATCTCCAGTCTTCAGCAGTTAATTTGAGATTCATGAGATTATCAGAGAAAATAGAACCTGCTACCACCGGTGATAGAAATGATATTCTCACATGCAACTGCATTACACTTCACACTTCAGCATCCTCACTGGAGCCTGCCTCTCAGCAGCTTCTGACCTCTGTCCTGGGTGCTGGGTGCTGTGTGCACCGGCACCTCCATGAATAATTTACCCTATTAATAAAAAACCCTTCAGAAGCCCTCCAGCCTCATGAAGCCTGAATTACAAAGTTGATTTGCAATTATAAAGCCTATCTCAAGCCCTCATGCAGGGCATCAGAGAGCCCTGAGGAGTGTGTGGTGGGCGCAGGTTGGAGTGTTTGTGGTTCCTTCTAGTGATGCTTAGGGCAGGGGGGTAGCAGGGGTTTGCTTTGGTGAAAAGAGAGGAGCTGAAAGAAGACAGGTGAAGCCTTGAGGAAATATCTGATAACTTTGCCATTCTCTTCTACCTCCTTTCTTCCTAAGCATGCCCCCTTTCTTTAGGCCAAGGGACCAATCCACATCCTAGATCATCTGTAACATTATTCCCTGCGGTACTCGAGGAAAGTGCCCCCTGATGGTGTTAGGGTTCACGTGACTGTCAACTGTTTCCTCAGGGTGCTTCACATTATTCTCTTTATGTGTCCATAGTAGCTTTCTGAGCAAATCTTCTATGATGATCCAAATATACAAAACCTCAATAATACTGGGAGAGCCTCGCCTTACTCTCAAAACAGATGGATATTCTGTTCCATGCTTACATTTACATACCGATTCCTGTTCTTGTCTGACAGGAGTTAAAGGAGTGGTGTTCCACTGATGTCAAACCATGACATCATTCTGACCAGCACCAATACTGGTTGCTGTGTGTCTGTCATGGGGGAATAGAGGAAAGTAGAACTTCGGAGGATCGATGTTGATATAGTGGAGACCACAATAAGTTTTACATTAGAACCCTACTTTAAACCCATGGCTTTCTTTTACCCAAACTGATGAGCTTTCCCTAAACTCAACCAGTTGTTTAATTTGCAAAAACCTACCACAGCAACCATTTACAGGTATTAAAGTAAATTAAGAACCTTGAATAAATCATCGATACATACTGAATGTAATGTTTGGTCTTGTGTTTTTCAATATGTTGGCTTTCTCTATTTTTTATTGGTGGATAAATGCCAAAAAATGTGTTAAGGGTAATCATAAATGACAGAAGCTTGCAGAGGCACTGATACATAATCCTCTCTAATCCTCCATAATCCCCCGAAATCTTGACATTGCATTTAATGTTGACTTTTCTTTGAACAATTTTGAAGGACAATTAACCTTCCAATCAAAGATAGTAGTATTGATTACTTTGGTTGCTGCCTCCTACATTATATACAACCTCCTATTACCGTTACTGCTTAAATTGAGTTGTTTCATGTTGATAGTTTTCTCACTGCTTTTGTGAAAAATGCTGATATTAAAACTTAAATAAATACCAAAGTGACGAATGATTCAACCCAACCCTTGTTGTGTTATGTCTATGTGAATGTGTGAATCTTACATATATCCATTTGTCCTGAAAACCAGTAAATAATAAACAACATTTATGCTTTTTAAGGCCGGCATGGTGGTGCAGTGGTTTACAGTGTTTGACTCTGACCCTACTGGTTAGCTGGAGCTTTTCTGTGTGAGGTGTGCTGTTTGTGTCTGAGTGGGATTTTCTCCCATAGTCAAAAAAGTTATCTGGCAATGTAACATGTGAGTGTAAGTGTAAGTTTGAATGCAAGTGTCAATGGTTGTTTGTCTAAATTTTCGACCTGTGACTGACTGGCAAAGTGTTCAGGGTGTAACCTGGCCTCTCAACCAGTGTCAGTCATGTATAGTTCCAGCCCCCCTGCAACACTCAAAGGATACGCAACATGGCTAATGGTGGTTATTTGGTTTTGCAGATTGGTACCTGGGATCCTCCAAGTGGCCTGAACATGACCGACAACCAGAAGGGGAAGACAACCAACGTGTCTGATTCCCTATCCAATCGATCTCTGATCATCTCTACCATACTGGTACTGTATTAATATTATATATATTATTTTTCTTTCTGAACAATGGCTGAAGCCATTGTAGCAACACATAGTTTTATTTTCTTTGTCTACTCCTGTTAAGCAGCTATTATATCTTAGTTGCATGTTGTACTGTGTTAGAATAATGGAAAAAAAAAAAAAAAAAACTACTCAAAGGTTCACTTACGGGTTGTTAGGAGCTTTCAACTGCATCCCACAGCTATGGTCTTCATCTTCTTTGATTCTTTTAAGTTTGGCCAAATGAAAAGCTAAAGTTGTCTTTGCTCAGGGCCATTGGCATCTTTGGTATCAAACATGGCCACTAAATACAGCCATTGAGAACAGGTGCATAAGGTTTATTAATTCAACTTGCAGAGTATTGTGATCCAATGGGAGGCTTGTATTTGATCTGGTTTGTCAGTTTGTCAGTTGCAGACAAGTTTAGATTTCCAGCCTGCTGCAAACCTAGTCAGCAACAACTCCAGCCAATCAGGGCGCAGGATGGGGTGAAGGTGGTGAAAGCACATGTAGTGGTGTGGGGTCCCTTCACTTTTGTACACTGCACACGTTTGTAATAGCAGAAATCAAGCAATAACTATGCATGTTAGGGACAGGGTGACTCAGGTTGTAGAAAAAAAATAGAATACCAGACAGGTTAGAGTCGGGCTTTGTTACTTATCTCTCCAGCTTGGATGGATTATGACAAAATGTTGACTCTCTAATCTTTACAACTTACATCCCCACTGAAACCTTTCATCTCTCCTTCAGCTTGATGTTTTTATTCTGTAGCACAATGCCACAGAGAAGCAAGGGGGATAAACCAGATTCAAAATGTTTCTTCTTGCATGTATTTTGCTGATTAATAGTTTGGGGACCAGTCAGGGGTTTCTCCTGGTCAAAGATTGTATAGTGTCAGACTCCCCCTGTTAGCAGTTAGTGATTTAGTATGAACTCATAACAACTGATCACGTCAGAAAGTCATGTGGTGTGAACTGCACAGCGTTTTGCTGATTTAGAAAGTTGCATAGTGTGAACTGGGCTTCAGTGTATTGCATTGAAATTAAAATGTATGGTTTCATCAGTTCAGAAGCTCAGAGGATAGTAGAAGAATATGTGATCTGCTCGAGAGAAATACATCCAATCTAGACATTTCCGTTACATTGGTATCAAATTCTAACTGACCCAGTTGATAAATAAAAACCCACTCTGTGCACTTCACTATTGTCATCTAACAGGATTTATGACAATGATGAAGTCTGTAAAAGAACGACCGTTACCTTTCGCTGCTGTTGTTGGCTGACAATGTGTTTATTAATATTGCAGCTTTAAATGTCTGTTTAAAGCCAAATCAAATTGTAATGGTGCTTTATGTGGGGACCAATTATAGAAGGCTGGAACAGCTCTCAGCCATAACAGACTCCCTCCAAAGATGTCATTATTTTTAAGCTTTTCCTCTTTCGTCAGTGCTTTGCCTGAAATGCCCTCTGTTTTAAGAGCACTTTCTGGGGATGCTGTTCATGCTGTTGAAGTAGAGTACCCCAAAGCACTGCAGTCCCAAACTGCCAGTTGACTCCAGCACTGTGGAGGACTACGACTTGGTAGTAGCTGGATTAGGCGGGGTAAATTGATTGATTGTCCAATAGAATGTTCTGGTTTACAGCGTTGCCTTCCATCAAGCTCTCAAGTAATTTATCAGGCCCCGTTATTGTCAACATTGGTGCCAAAAACCATGGATATAACTTTATCTAGATCCGAGTATGTGTATTAACATTAATTTAATTTGGAGTGAAAGTTGCCCTGCTCTCCTAAAGATTTGTGCTCTTGCCTATTTTTTCCATTAATTTGTTTTTAAAAGGTTTTTATTATGAAATATTTGCAGGAGTGGAAGATGCATGGCTTCATACTGTATAGTACTGGTATTTATTTGAGTACTTAGAACTACATTTATACAAGGAAGTAGGAGTAGTTTTCAGCAAATAAAATTGAGGAAGTGAGTGGATACATTGAATAAACATATTTTATAGAGCTTGGTTAGAGGCCAGTCGGAAATCGCTTTGGTGAGCAGAGTTGTGATAGGAGAATTTGGACTTGAGTCAAATTCAAGTCAACCCACTTGGACGCCCCAGGATAAAATTTAACTGGGCTGCTTTTTGACCCCTATGCTTTATCCATCGACAGAGCAGTTAGTGAGCAGCGTCTGGTTGCCTCACGATGATGAAAGGTTCCTTGGGAAATGGTAGTGGTAATTATCATCCTCATATAACTCAACCAGAAAGCAAATAAGCCCAAGTCCCTTAAATGTTTGAGGCTGCTATCCCTTTATAGACTTACCAATAAGTTTACCATATGTTTTAGTGGTCATTAATTGTTTATTGACCAACAACTCCATGTAATTAAAAAGTTTTGTCAGTGAAGAACCTGGGGTTATTTGTATATGTATCCTACCTCAAGTGCTTTTGTTTATAATCATGGTCATGCCTACTTTGCAAAAAAACATTATGTACAGTTTCCTCCATATGAGAGGAGTGGCAGTAGAGGAAACTTGTAGCAGCAAGCATTAAAAGCCATTTATGATTCTGTTATTTAGGAGTCAAGCGTAAAAATAACAATATCTAGTAAATTGAGGGTTGTCATTATTTATCTCGGGACTCCTTTCCTTCCGCACGTGCTGTGAAGTGATTGGATTGCAGTTATTAGCGAAGACTCTCCGCGGCTGTAATTGCCATATCAGGGCTGAGTCATGGGGGGATGTGTGATGGTTGTGAGCAGCACGGAAACGGAGAGAAGGGCTGACAATAATTGGGTTTGTTACACTTGATTGATGCACACTTTCATCCAGCTTCTCATCATTTTCTCAGGGATTATGTACTATAAAACATGATGTAATTACTGTTGAGATCTTGGCCTATCAACAGTTTATCTACTTTAGAAATCACTCCCGTAATGTTGTAGTGGAAATGAAGTACCTTTAGGCTAATGGAGCTGTAGATAATATACTGTGTAATGTCTTGGAGAGAGCAAGGAGTGGGCCTTTAGTTAGTTAGTATTGAAAAATATTTAATTGTACATTCAATAGAAAATTACCTCTGTTGCAAAAGAGCAGAAAAGATAAGATGGCCCGAAAAGGACATCCAGCCCCTAAGGCAGCCTTGTTCTTTTGTGGATAGCATGCATCTCATCGTAGAACTTATTTCTGAAAATCTAAAACAGCTAGACGCTGCAGTTTTTATTCCATGGTACTCAAAACAGGAGCAAACTGCTCATTTGCTGGGGCCATAAAGTATTCGGATCAACAGGATGATAAAACGTGTGTGTGGGATTGAGTCAAAACAAACTATGGTATGTGTGCATTCCTGGTGATGAACATGTCATCTGTTACAGCAGTGTGTTTTCAGCAGTGGCTCGAGCTCTGTGGAACAAATGAATAGATATTCCAGGGTTTTAACTGATAGTGGGATATTTCCATTGTTTGTTTGGATCTGCACATGGGATTGGTCAAGATTTTACTCATTTTGAAACTAATTCTCAGTATAGTTACAGATTTAAGGTGGTTTCTTGAAAAGTAGGATGTCTTTGTCATCAGATGATCAGTATGCTACAAATAGCAGACATTCAACTGAAACACAAATAATTGTTAAACACAATATTCATCCATTGTGAAATCTGTCAGTCAATCAGCCAATCAGGATTTGTCAACCAGTGAAAATCTGTGTCCTGCTCGTCAGCACATAAGGGAAAAAAAACCTGCAATCAGAAAGTAGATGGCAATGAAAGAGAGGGGGGCAGTAAACCTGGTGATTAAAATGTTTTGCTGAAAAACGTAATGACCTCTGGTCTCACATCAAGTCTCATCTCCATTTGGCCGTCCACATGCACCAGGGCAACTGCTCTTGGACGAGATGTGAGGAAGTGTAAACAAACTGGTGCCAGAGCAGATAGACCTTCCAGCATGAGTCACATTCATGGGAGAGACAGATGTGTAGGAAGAATGAATAAATTGGATGAGTAACATTAATTACTATAGATCATACTGACAAATAAGTACTGTAAAGGATCATTAAGCTAAATGCCGGAGATAGAACATATGTTGTTGGTGTAACATATCCTGGTCATTATCTGCTGTGTAATGCACCTCATTTTTCTAATAAGTTTCCAGGAGCCAATGTTGCCATCAGCTGATCATCTGTGGGACATTAAACCAGAATGTAGAACAAACTATGAACAGAAAAATGACAGAAGAGAAATGCAGTAGTTGTTTTTGCTAATTCCTCCATCATCAGATGGACCTTCCCGAGTTGGTTAGGGTGAGGCTGCAGGATGCAGTTAACAGATGAGAAAGAGCCACTACTTTAAGTGGACCTTGAGAAAAATGAACTTTTCAAATCAAAATTAAAAACATATCATCACAAATCATTTTAATGAGTTCCAAAGGGTTATAAAGTCACTGTAAGCCCAATTAACAACCTAGTTTAATTGATTGGCTTAATTAGCAGTGCTGAGTCCCTTCACATGTTATTAAAAGAGCAGAGACTTTGTTGCTTTATTTCCTGCCAATGACCTTTTTTTGTGGCAGACATTTGACCACAAATGTAGTGTTTCTTATTGAGTTTCACTGGTGCCATGGTTTCTGTACAATACATGCTCATTCACTGCAATCGTTAATGTTTTCAGGAATAACCTCTTATTTCATTATGTGACAAGACAGTTAGAAGCATGGAAAAGAGCTATAGCAATTTAAAAGTGAACTTTCATTTCACCTTTAATTTCTTAAGTTAGGAGACCGACAATGGACAATTTTACTTTGAATGAAGCAACACCACAGGAGTTTATGTTGGTTTTACATTGGATAAGTGATTGTTCATCAGTTTATATCGCAGTGACATATACTGCCCTTAACAGCGTAGTCCACCAGCAAAACAAGTACTTTACGTTGCTGGGTATTGTGTTCATGTGTCTGATGATGTACTTCACTTGACTCTTTGTTTATAGGATTAATTGGCATTGGAGTAAGTGCAAAGAAGCGAGAGAGCCATGCTGCTCAAATCAAGGTGAGAGAGAGGGAGAGAGCAAAATGCTCAGTGCATGATATGAGTTCCCTCAGCAGTCTGGGCTTATAGCAGCATAACTAAGGGATGGTTCAGGACTCACCTGATCCAGCCCTAACCGTAAGCTTTATAGAAGAGGAACATTTTAGGTCTAACCTTAGATGTAGAGATGGTGTCTGCCTCCCGAACCCAGAGCGGGAGCTTGTTAGCTGAAGGCTCTACCGCCCATTCTACTCTTACAGACTCTTGGAACCACAAATGAGCCTGTATTTTGAAAGTGAAGTGATCTATTTGGACAATACGGTGTTATGAGCTCTTTGACATATTGAGGGGCTTGATTGTTAAGGCTTTTGCCTGTGAAAAACAGGATCTTGAATTATATTCTGAATTTTACACGGAGCCAATGCAGAGAAGCTAGGACAGGAGTAATATGATCTCTTCTTCTAATTCCTGTCAGCACTCATGCTGAAGCATTTTGTACCAACTGGAGGCTTATCACAGACTTACATCCTGATAATAAAGAATTTATAACAATCCAGTCTAGAGGTAACAAAGGCATGGACTAGTTTCAAAGTACAGCTGGGTGTCATCTGCGTTACAATGGAAGTGTATGTGGGGCTTTCTGATGATGTTGCCTTAAGGAGGAACAAATAAAGTGAAAAGTATCGGTCAAAGGACAGAACCTTGTGGAACTCCATAACTAACGTTTGTGTGCATGGAGGAGTCAATGTTAAGCAACTTAAACCAGTCTAGTGCCATACCCATAATCCCTGCAAGTTGTCTCAGTCTCTATAACAGAATCTCATGATCTATGGTGTCAAATGTGGCACTATGATCTAGCAGGATGACTGTCTGATGCCATGAAAAGGTCTTTCAATGTCACTTTAAATGGCAATTCTCAGCCAATCATTTGGCAGCAAAGCAATGCTGATAAATCATGCGAACACCTGTAAGGAGCTTCAGTTAATATCAAATCTCAATGGATTTGAGAGTTTGATTTAGACGACTCGTTCAGGGTCAACAGCATGAATCTATGATGTCAACCTGCCTGGTGTCAATAGTTCAGGCTGCTGCTGGTGGTGTAATAGAGTGGGGAATATTTTCTGGAGACAGTTCAGGCCCTCAATATTAATCAATCATAGCTTTTAATGCTACAGTCTGAGCCTGTTGCTGCTTTGTTGGACATTGGTCATCCATACATTCAAAATTATTTGGCTGT